GCCGCTTGTCTGTCAGTTTGTCATACTGTGGTGGCTCGTGTGTTACTGTGATGCTGGAAGCTGTGCCACCCGTATTTCAAGTACCAGCAGGGTCACCCGTGCTGGACAGGTTTCAGCTGAGCTTCCAGACTAAGACGGTCTAGGAAGAAGGACCTGGCGGTCTACTTCTGATAAAAACAAGCCAGTGAAAACCTTATGAATAGCAGCAGAACATTGTCGGATATAGTGCCAGAAAATGAGCCCCTCAAGTTAGAAGGCACTCAAAATATGACTGGGAAAGAGCTGCCTCCTAGAGTCGACCTTAATGACGTGGGTGGAGTCAAGCTTTTGGGACCTTCATTTGCTGATGTGGCACGACTCAAAATTAGAAGAAACACCTGCAAACATCCATTAATAATCTGGACATGAAATGTACAAAGTATGAATCTAGGAAAATTAGAAGTTGTCAGAAATGAAATGGAACACGTAAAGATCGATATCCTAGGCATTAGTGAACTGAAATGGACTGGTAGTGGCCATTTTGAATCGGACAGTCATATGGTCTACTATGCAGGAAATGACAAAATGAAGAGAAATGGTGTTGCATTCATTGTCAAAAAGAACATTTCAAGATCTGTCCTGAAGTACAATGCTGCCAGTAATAGGATAATGTCCATAGGCCTACAAGGAAGACCACTTAATACGACTTACTCACACTTGCCCGTCAACCGCTAATGCCAAAGATGAGGAAATTGAAGTTTTTACCAACTTCTGCAGTCTGAAATTGATAGAACATGCAGTCAAGATGCATTGATAATTACTGGTGATTGGAATGCAAAAGTTGGAAACAAAGAAGAAGAGTCAGTAGTTGGAAAATATGGCCTTGGTGGTAAAAATGACACCGGAGATCGCATGATAAGATTTTGCAAGACCAACGACTTCTTCATTGCAAATACCTTTTTCACCAACATAAACGGTAACTATACGCGAGTACCTCGCCAAATGGAACACACAGGAATCATATCTACTACATCTGTGGAAAGAGACGGTGGAGAAGCTCAGTATCATGAGTCAGAACAAGGCCAGGGGCCCACTGTGGAACAGACCATCAATTGCTCATATGCAAGTTCTAGTGGAAGGTGAAAAGATTAGAACAAGTTTATGAGAGCAAAATGTGACCTTGAGTATATCCCACCTGAATTTGGAGACCGTCTCGAGAATAGATTTGATACATTGAACACTAATGACCGAAGACCAAACTAGTTGTGGGATGACATCAAGGACATCATACATGACAAAAGCAAAAGGTCATTAAATAGACAAGAAAGAAAGAAAAAACCAAAATGGATGTCAGAAAAGACTCTGAAACTTGCTCTTGAATGTA